TGGTCAAATTTGAACTAGAACTGAACTAGAGCTGTACTAGAGCTGTACTACAACTGAACTAGAATTGAACTAGAACTGAACTAGAGCTGTACTACAACTGAACTAGAATTGAACTAGAACTGAACTAGAATTGAACTGGAACTGAACTAGAACTGAACTAGAACTGAACTAGAACTGAACTAGAACTGAACTAGAACTGAACTAGAACTGAACTAGAACTGAACTAGAACTGAACTAGAACTGAACTAGAACTGAACTAGAACTGAACTAGAACTGAACTAGAACTGAACTAGAACTGAACTAGAACTGAACTAGAACTGAACTAGAACTGAACTAGAACTGAACTAGAACTGAACTAGAACTGAACTAGAACTGAACTAGAACTGAACTAGAACTAGAACTCAACTAGAACTGAACTAGAACTGAACTAGAACTCAACTAGAACTGAACTAGAACTAGAACTGAACTAGAACTGAACTAGAACTGAACTAGAACTGAACTAGAACTGAACTAGAACTGAACTAGAACTGAACTAGAACTGAACTAGAACTGAACTAGAACTGAACTTGTAGCCCTTTAACCGTTTTCTTATCCGAAATGCATTCTTTGGAAATGACATTTACTCCTCACCAACATTTTGAGTACAATTTACTTTATTTGCTGAAAGAAAACAATATTTAAAGGCTCTTTATAATATATTATTTTTTTTATAAAAAAAAAACGAAAAAAACTTCTGTGAGAGCCACCAAATATTGGGTTTACCTTTGAGTATATTTGCTTTCAATTTCGTTGGCTGATAACAACACACAGACCGCCAGTCAGCCGGTTTTCTTGTGTTACTCAATATTTTGTATATTGAAAATAAAGTCTTGTTTTTCGAATATTTTTTGTCTGATTGTTTCACTCCAGATACTCAACGACTTTTAAACAACGCGGACGTGGTGTGTGGTGACTTCTTTTCTCGAAAAAATTAAAGCAAAAGAAAAAAACAATATTTTATTAAACGAATGCATTTTTTTTGTATAAATTTATGTATTAATTTTTGTGACAAACAGTGAAATTTACATAACAAACAAAAGAAACAAGACAAAATTGCATGTATAATTAAAAAATTACTAAACGAAAACAACGAATACATATTTGTTTTTTGGAATAAATTAAAAAAAGTTCATAATAAACAATAATTTATCCACAACTGAAGATCGAAAAATTGGAATTAAATTATTAAGTTTTATTACGAAAAGTAGGTGTGATTTCATGTTATATTCGTTACTAGTTGTTTGCTAAAATCAATCGTTAATTGCAAAGATCTTTTAAAATCTATATAGACCGGTAATAGACTAAAATTTATATATATATTTTGTCATTTTCATGTTAAAATAAACAAAATGAAAATAATTTTACAATTTAAATGCATTTTTTGTTTGGTAAATCCCCTTAAGTATTTATAAATGTGGTCATCATTTTTCTCTTTTGTTTTTTAAATTGTAAAAAAAGTTAATTTTTATTTTGAACTTTGTCCAAAAAAAGTTTCATTTTTTTATTACGCCGCTTATTTATTTCTTTATATGCTCAGTAAATATCCATGTACATACATATACTAACAATGAATTATTTTATATATTCGCAAAATAATTTTTATGTATTATATTATTATTTATGTGTATTTGTGTAAATTTTATGTGTTTGATTATATTTCTTTATTGACATTTTTTAGTTTGCCGCCTGATAAGCCTTTTCGAAATTTAAGATTGTACTTGGTTTATGTTTTTGGGTAAAAGAACTCATGTTTAGATTCGGTAGTTTTTTTTTGTAAAGTCATTTAAAAAAGAGGCATGTTTCAAAAGCTTTCAGATTAAAATGTTTTTGTTCCAAAGTCGAATTTGATATTGATTATCGGCAGTGGCCCTTGACTTATTATTGTTTTTTATTACTCTAGATATTTTGCAGAATTTTTATGGGAAATGCATCGAATATAGAATCGTTGAACAGAACTAGAACAGAACTAGAACAGAACTAGAACAGAACTAGAACTAGAACAGAACTAGAACAGAACTAGAACAGAACTAGAACAGAACTAGAACTAGAACAGAACTAGAACAGAACTAGAACTAGAACAGAACTAGAACAGAACTAGAACAGAACTAGAGCAGAACTAGAGCAGAACTAGAACAGAACTAGAACAGAACTAGAAAAGAACTAGAACAGAACTAGAACAGAACTAGAACAGAACTAGAACAGAACTAGAACAGAACTAGAACAGAACTAGAACAGAACTAGAACAGAACTAGAACAGAACTAGAACAGAACTAGAACAGAACTAGAACAGAACTAGAACAGAACTAGAACAGAACTAGAACAGAACTAGAACAGAACTAGAACAGAACTAGAACTAGAAAAACTAGAACAGAACTAGAACAGAACTAGAACAGAACTAGAACAGAACTAGAACAGAACTAGCACAGAACTAGAACAGAACTAGAACAGAACTTTAGAACAGAACTAGAACAGAACTAGAACAGAACTAGAACAGAACTAGAATCAGAACTAGAACAGAACTAGAACAGAAACTAGAACAGAACCTAGAACAGAACTAGACACAGAACTAGAAACAGAACTCGAACAGAACTAGAACAGAACTAGAACAGAACTAGAACAGACTAGAACAGAACTAGAACGACTAGAACAGAACTAGAACCAGAACTAGAACAGAACTAGAACAGAACTAGAACAGAACTAGAACAGAACTAGAACAGAACTAGAACAGAACTAGAACAGAACTAGAACAGAACTAGAACAGAACTAGAACAGAACTAGAACAGAACTAGAACAGAACTAGAACAGAACTAGAACAGAACTAGAACAGAACTAGAACAGAACTAGAACAGAACTAGAACAGAACTAGCACAGAACTAGAACAGAACTAGAACAGAACTAGAACAGAACTAGAACAGAACTAGAACAGAACTAGAACAGAACTAGAACAGAACTAGAACAGAACTAGAACAGAACTAGAACAGAACTAGAACAGAACTAGAACAGAACTAGAACAGAACTAGAACAGAACTAGAACAGAACTAGAACAGAACTAGAACAGAACTAGAACAGAACTAGAACAGAACTAGAACAGAACTAGAACAGAACTAGAACAGAACTAGAACAGAACAGAACTAGAACAGAACTAGAACAGAACTAGAACAGAACTAGAACAGAACTAGAACAGAACTAGAACAGAACTAGAACAGAACTAGAACAGAACTAGAACAGAACTAGAACAGAACTAGAACAGAACTAGAACAGAACTAGAACAGAACTAGAACATAACTAGAACAGAACTAGAACAGAACTAGAACAGAACTAGAACAGAACTAGAACAGAACTAGAACAGAACTAGAACAGAACTAGAACAGAACTAGAACAGAACTAGAACAGAACTAGAACAGAACTAGAACAGAACTAGAACAGAACTAGAACAGAACTAGAACTAGAACAGAACTAGAACAGAACTAGAACAGAACTAGAAACTAGAACAGAACTAGAACAGAACTGCAACAGAACTAGAACAGAACTAGAACAGCACTAGAAAGACTTCAGATGGGAGTAGAACAAGGTTTATTTTGGAATCTTCTGTGATATTTTCTATGCTTCCTCGGTATGGCCGGGGGATCAATGAACCACAAATCATCAGTTGTTGAGTAATCAAAAGCATCCCTGTCATTTCAATTCGAAGATATTTTAGAGCATGCAATGACAAAGAATGGGAAAAACACTCTCAACTGGGTTTTAATACAGGTATGAGCTGTGATCAAGATCCTTAAATAAGTAGCTGCGTCTTTCGGCTATACTTATTTGTCAATTACAAAGTATTCGTCAACGTTTTTAAATAACCCTTCTTGAACTCTTGTTTCTATTAAACATGTTTTGAAATAAGTACTTTTCATATTTTTCAATTAAGTATTTTACAAGAGTTCTACATAATTTATTTGTGTAATTATACACAAATAGTAAATATAGATAACCGTACTGTGACTCATAATAATATTTATTAGATTAGAATATTTTGATTAGAAAAGTAGGTGTATATTTTCTTTAAAAACTCAAAATGTTCCAAATCGTTTAAGATAATAAAAACTACAATAAGAACTTTCTAAAAATTTCTTAATATTAACTCGTCTAATAAAAAAATTCCAAACATTTTGATACTTAAAATTATCAATTTTGAGCCATTACGTTTAAAGGTCTTTAAATTTTGCTAAAGTAATTTCTATTTCTACAATCTTTAAACCTTTAAGAGGGTTATCTTTTTAAAAATTAATTTCAACAGTAAAAATAATTTATACATTAGTCAATTATTTGGTTAGTAACTTGTGTAAATATGCTTCAGTTGGTTAAAAAACGTCATAACTAAGTTTTGTTTGTATTTTAGTTTAAACTTATGGTGTCTTGGCAAAGCTTGTTAATCGAAATCTTAGCAAAATGTTTTAAATTTATTTAAGATCTTTTATTGAATAACTTCAACTTAGGACTTATTACGTTTTTATAGCAAATAATCATAATATATGTTTAAACTACATTAAATATTAATGGCTGTGTTTGTGTCTTAAATTTAAAAAACAAATAGCATTTTATTTTTAGGTAAACAACTGAACTGGTTTTAACACGATAGTACCAGGGGGGCCTGTTTCTTCTCATTTATTTTTTTTTTATTCTTTATACATAATTCATTAAAAATATCTTTATCATTTTAATCATAAGTTCTAGTTTAAGAAGTGCTTGCCTAAAATTTATTATTGGAGTGCATGAGGTTTCGGGGTCATCTAAATTTATGTTTTTATTTCATAAAATTCACTTTATTAAAGCGTGATGCTGCTGCTTGTGTTTATTTTTAATATTTTCGCTTGTTTTTTTTTACCATAATCTTAAGGTTAATTTTAAATTTAAGAAAACAAACAAATTTTTTATTAAATAAAAAACGAAAATTTTCGCAAATAAAATTTTAGAAACTTCTGAAGACGCTGTTGCTCACACTAGTGATTTAGACGAATCCGGCGACGATATGACTGAAGGTAAAAATGTACCTACCACTCCCAAGCCCAGTTCTAGTGCTGAGGTGCCTTTTAGAAGAGGAGGAGATTTTCGTAAAACATCTTTAAGTCTTAATCGTCTAGTGGGTGTTATCGATGAGGGTACAAATACGGTTAGTTTTTCTATATACACCACACCCGAATTTAAGGAAATCGCCAGCCATCATATAGAAAAACAAATGATTACCGTGAAAGACGGCTGGTTCGAACAGGATCCTGTGGGCATTATAAACAATGTCTATCGTTGCTGTGAAGTAGCTGTTAGTATGCTACCTTCTTTAGGCTATCGCAAAGAGGATATTTTCACGATAGGCATTACTAATCAGAGAGAAACTACTGTAGTGTGGGATAGTGTGACGGGTAAACCTTTATATAATGCCATTGTTTGGAATGATATACGTACCACCGAAACTGTGGATCAAATTTTGGCCAAAATACCGGAGCAAAATAAAAATCATTTTAAAAATATAGTGGGTTTACCCGTATCACCCTACTTTTCGGCTTTAAAGATCAGATGGCTAAAGGATAATGTGGCTGCCGTGCGCAAAGCTTGCCGAGAGAAACGTTGTAAGGCGGGTACTATTGACAGTTGGATTGTTTGGAACCTTACTAGGGGTGAGTGGATAATCAAGCTAAGCTGAATTTCATGATCATAAATTTAAGAGGGGTCACACAAATTTTAGTATGAAGTGCAAGAACGAAAAGGAAAAGAAAGAAATTAGAAGAAATTATTATACAAAATGGGTCAGGAATTCGAATATACATATATTGAGGAATTGAGAGGAGAGTTCCTGAAAAGTTTTATGTCGTCATGGATTTAAATATTTTTAAAAGTGTCCGTAGGTGTTAAGGGGAGCTGGAGAAAGTGACCCTTTTCAGTCGTTCTTAATCAGAGGTCTATGGGGGACCAATTTGTAGAGTTGGTGGGACAATCGAATTGTGTTGTGGGTATATTTATGACAGGCAATGCAGTAGGGACATTTCGTTCGCGGTAGCAGTTATGTCAACTGCACCAAAGAGCTTTTAATTGTACAAAAATGGACTTTTAATGACTGAGAAGTTGTCTCTCACTATCCGGGATCACTGAGAGGTGATCGTTTAAGAATCTGAATCAGAGTCCGCTATTTGCAAACCATTGAAATGTTTTCTGGTCCATCATTGTTGGATGGAATGACCATGCGAAAGTCCAACCGGTTGTGTCAGGGAAGGACACCATAATCTAATGGTTGAGATGACTCGACAACCTTCTTAATGTGTTGTTTGCATTGGAGTATTTTGAAACATTGATTCCAGGGAACTGAATTACAAGGGGTCCAAGATTATACGTTTTCAAGAAGTCCGTAGGTGCTTATAATCAGTAGTAAACATTTGATAGAATTGTGTGCCGTTTCATAAACTCCATCTCCATTATTATTACAAAAAGTCATCATATTAATCTAAATTTTATACAATCAGGTGCTCTACACATAACCGATGTTACCAATGCTTCGCGTACCATGCTTATGAATATTGAAACTCTCGAATGGGATCCAGTTTTATTGAAAACTTTCTCCATACATGCTGATATGCTGCCCGATATTAGAAGTTGTTCGGAAATTTATGGTAAAGTTTTAGATGATCGTTCTGTACTCAAGGGCATGCCCATTAGTGGTATATTGGGCAATCAACAAGCTTCTCTGCTAGGACAAATGTGTATTAAACCGGGACAAACTAAGAACACCTATAGATCTGGTTGCTTTTTACTCTGCAATACCGGCACCACACCAGTTATATCCTCTAGGGGTCTATTGACCACAGTGGCTTATAAATTGGGACCCAATATGCCGCCAGTATATGCCTTGGAAGGATCGGTAGCGGTAGCTGGACATGCTTTGGAATGGTTGCAAAATAAAGTACGTATAGTGCCAAAAGCTTCCGATGCTGAACAGTATGCAGAAGCAGTACAAACTACAGGAGATGTTTACTTTGTACCCGCATTTACTGGTCTCTATGCCCCCTATTGGCGTAAAGATGCTCGTGGTATGATTATAGGTCTAACACAATTCACCACCAAACATCATGTGGTAAGAGCTGCGCTTGAAGCTATATGCTTTCAATCCAGAGATATTTTAGAGTGTATGTATAAAGAGGGCGGTTTCAAATTCAATAAACTGCATGCCGATGGTGCCTTATCCTCCAATAATGTTTTAATGCAGCTGCAAGCTGATACTGCAGGTGTGCCCGTATTTCGTTCTCAACTCTTAGATTCTACTGCTTTTGGGGCGGCCATGTGTGCAGCTCAAGCTGAAGGCATAGAATTGTGTAAATTTGATCCCGAGAAAAGGCATTATGATAATATTTATTATGATACCTTTTTGCCAACAAGCACAGATGAGGAGCGAGCTCATAGATATGGTAAATGGAAGAAGGCTGTAGAGCGTAGTTTCGATTGGGCAGATCGTGGTAAATCGAAGCATATGACCGAAGAAAGATATCGTATGTTGTCATCAGTACCTGGTAGTTTATTCCTTATAACAACATTTGCTATGTTGGCTCATTCTTTAAGAAATATTAAATCATAGACAATCATTGAAAGCAGGAAAGATATCTTTTATATAGAGTTATTATGAAAGGGAGCAAATTAAGAGGAATAAAGTTAAGAATAAGAAAGACATTCAAATTGACATAACTTTGATTACTTAGTATACTTAAGTCACTCAATTACTTTAACCCTAGTTTCCAATGCTTCCTGTTATATAACATTTTTAAAAATTGCCACAATTTCCTAGATTTCCCTTAAGGTTTTAACTTAATATAACTTCTTATATAAATCAAATTATTGTACTTATAAAGTATTTAATTGTAAATAATTGAATTTTTTAAATTGTTAATGCTTTTTTAATAATTTTTATCTTCTTGTTATATATTTCTTTATTTTTTTTCATTGTTTTTAGTTTTTAATTATAGCCAACTATTTGTGATAAAAATTTATACAACTTTAACGTGTGTATAATATATAAAACAGTTAAATTTTAGGCCCCCCAATAGGTATTCTTTAAAATAATTAAAGTTTACGCTTCTCCATTTTTATTGCTATTTTTATTATAATTGTAAATAAGTTAAAAAAATTAATTATGTATTACATAATAAACAACATACATACATATATATTTATAATGTTATTGCTAGTTTATAACTAGTTATTAAAATAAAAAAAGAAATAATGATTGAAGAAATAAAATTAAAAAATAAAACTATTTGTTTTATATAAAAAAGCGTTGAAAGTTTATTTTATTTATAATTTAATTAGAAATATTTTAAGAATTTTTTAAAAAACTAATTTTTAAATTGTCGTTTCACAACTTAATTTCTGCGTCCTATATACATACGTATAAATTTTAATATAGTCAGAGGAGATCTCCCAATCTAAACCCTCAGTACTTACATCCTGTTCCTCCAGGTATTATAGGTAAAATGTTCCAAAGATGATTAACTTTGATTACTGTGTTTATGAAATTAAAATGAGTCTCATTACTAAGATATTCCTAATTATTAAACTTAATAATTATCTGAAAGAATCTGGAAATGTTTGTAGCAAAAATGGAATTAATGTTAGGTTGTTATTTTTTTTAAATTTTGATTCATTAAGATATGAAAACTGGAGAAAATTTCATTTTCTCTTAAAATCGTTTTTTTTAGAAATTTTGACGTTCGTGTGAACATTCAATTTTCTGACGAAAATTCAGTTTTACGGTTAAAATTCTATTTTCTTGTCAATATTCGATTTTTTTTTTGTAAAATCAAGAGAAGTTTAATCAATTTTCTGTTTAAAATTGTATTTACTAGATTTAAAGGTCCATTTTAAAGGGATTTTTTTGTTAAAAATTCGATTAGTAGAACCCTCGAAATAATGTTCATATGAAGAAAAATGTTTTACACAACGTGAGCTAGGTTTGACGCTACTGTTCAGATTGTGGAAGTATATTTTTTTTTCACAAGCTGTATTTAAATTCAGAATGGTGCAGTCTATTCGAAACTGATGAACATTGAACCTTATGCTCTATTATGACAAAATATCTTATTATTCATGCTAGTTAGGAAACTTGACTTTCATATGTCCTTTAACTCTATCACGTATACGGGACACCGGTGTCCCAAGATTTTGTTTTTAATTTTTCCCGATTTTGAGCGTAATCTTTAGTTCACAGCTACAGTAAATAGTTATTTCCAAAGAAAAATACGATATTTTTTAGAATTTGATGTCACTACATGCTAAAAAGGATAATATTTCATCAAAAATGATCAGTATTCGTCAAAATAAAGTGTGTGGTGAAGTCATATCCATAAAAAGTTTAGCGGTTTAGTTTTGTGCGTGAAAGGGTTAAAGCTGCTATTTATATTATATGTATGACCGACAGATCCAACAAATCATAGAGTTCTACATAAAAAATGACTAAAGGACTAAAATTTGACTTAGTGTAAACTTATCCCTCTAAAACCGCAACTTTATAAATCCCCAAAAAAGTCTGTAGGCGATGAAATCGTTATATCGAAGCAAAAGTTATAAGAAATACTTAGTTAGTTAGTTAGTCCGTAAGGAGGATGTATATACATCAAATCCGCAGACATATACCCAGGCCTCTATCGGGCCTGTTGTGCGCTCCTTAACCAGTGCCTCAGGTGGGAATCGAACCCACCACCTCCGGTCTACCAGACTAGAACAATAACCACTAACCTACCGGAGGTCTCTAAGAAATACTTTAAAACATAAATTGATCGACAATTTCGGGTCCTCAATTCTGACACTCTTATTATTTAAAAGTTCCAAAACCTTTGTTCCTTGATTTCAAGTATAGTTTGGTTGAATCAACCGATCTTGTCAAATATATTATTGCTGGGGTAAATATGTTAAGTGTCGTAAGTGAATATTTATTGGAATCCAGAATCTCTATTCCTAGCTTCAGCAGTCCAAAAAAAAAAAATAAGTCATGCCGTTATTGCTGAACTTCTGGGTCTCAGTTATTGCACTATTGCAAGATATTTTCTGAAAGACAAAGCCTTTGCCCTGAGACTTTAAATTAGGCGATTTTGCTTAACAAATTACACCAGAAAAGTCTTATGCCGCTAGAATGTGAAACTATAATCAGCGAGCTTTTTGCGCCAAATTGATGAAGAGTTTCTGAATAATATCTTAAACGGGCAGCAACTTCAGTTTCTTTCTCCGACATTTCCAAAAAGTTTTTGCCAAGAACTAGTACTTCTTAATTTCTGGATCAAAAATATTTCACTTTGGAATGATTAAAATTTAACAATTTACAACATTTTCAAACACTTTTCATGGCAAATCTTTACAAATTTATTTTTATCACTTTCTGTGAGTTAAGTACCCAATTATATTAGTTTTATAAATAACATTATTCAGCATAAAAATGCTAAGGAAAAGAAATAATTTAATAACTAACTATTAAATTATATTCTTCACAATGATAATTAAAAAAGATACCGATATAATATATTTTCATGGAAATTTATGCATGATTTCTTCCTTATAAATGTTATAAAATCTATTTCATGATTTGTCTATAACGATTATGAAATTATAGTATTATTAACGTAATCTATCTATTATAGCCAATATAATCTTTATACATATTTATAAAAAGAACTATTTTAACTTGTACTCTAAATATCTAGAGCCACACCTTTTTATTGCTATAATTTTCTTTTATGAAGTAGACAAATTTTATTTAATTGCTGATAATGATTGTTTGAATTTATATTTTTTTCGCAATATTAGGTCTTTTATTGACACTTTGTTATGATGTCTTAATAAAAAAATTAATTTGTATTCTTTTTGTTATCAAGAAATATCTGATTTATTGCAATAAATGTAATTAAAAATATGTTTGCTTTATTTTTAAAACAAATTTCTTTTTTGACAAAAATAATTTCTTAAAAAAAATCTATTACGTTTTTGGCTTAATGAACTTTGGACTTTACTATTGGCGTATATAATTAATTTGTTGAGACAAGAGGAAATTAAAAGTTTAGAAAAATTAATAAATTAAATCTAATTACAAACTCAGTTGGCGTTGTATTCAAAATCGAGACTGGTTCCTATAACTTCTAGGAGTAGTACTTGCATTTAAGCAAATCACGAACTGATGAAGCACTGTTCCTTTGATTGGTTCTCTAGGGGTAGATATCTGTTCTAGTTAAATCAATTTATGTATGTGAAACCCTATAACTTTAGCAAGTTGTTGTGACCTATAATCCCCACACAGAGGGAAAAGGAAATATACACGCCTGGTATCAAATTGACACCAAAGAGTTTATAATTTTTTAACGCAACGTTGTCAACAATTCGTTGTCGAAATCTAAATTTTATACACATCCGTTGTCTAAATGTTAACAAACGTGGTAAGCTCACTATTGCCAACGGATTGTTTGTCAATAGTGAGCTTACCACGTTTGTTAACATTTAGACAACGGATGTGTATAAAATTTAGATTTCGACAACGAATTGTTGCAATGTTGTCAACATTACATGGTGTTGTCGTACGTATGTATATACTTTGACAACGTATGGTATTGATCAATTATAAACAGTTTGGTGTCAATTTGGTACCAGGCGTGTATATTTCTTTTTCCCTCTCTGCACTATAAGAATTTCAATCAGCCGGTTCTTTTTTAATTTTAAAATATTGTATAAAAATGTCTTTATTTAAAATGTGTATTTTTAATCAATAATAATATCATTATATAATAATAAATATAAAAATTTACAAAAAAAATATATAATCATTAAATCTATTAAAAAATATTAACTTAATTACGACTTAAATTAAAAACAAAACAATATTAAGTACACAAATTCTTCAAACATACTTAAGTTCAGTTTCTAAGTTTCTTTCTACTTTGAAGTTTAAATCAATAATAATCGTTTAAATAAAGTATAAAAAACATAATTAAATTAAAAGATAAATTAAATACAAAAACTTTTATAAAGTATTTATACTTAAAAAAAAAATTAAAATAAAAAACTTAAATTCTCTAAATGTCTAAAATCTCAAAATGAAGGTTTACTACTGCTCATGCCACGAGCCGGTAAACTATTGGTTTTTGTTTGTGGATTATCGCGGGCCTGAGAATGAGCCACCACTATGCTCAGACATTGTACCCATTCTTCGGCATTTTTACCATCTTTTGGTTTGAGTATTAAAGTCTGATCGGCAGTAAAAATTTCAAAAGCTTTGGGTATATTGCGTGCGCCGCGCGATACCTTAACGGAACGTATTTGATTGACATCGATGCTCTCACCACCGCTCTATAAAGATATTATATTTTAAATTGAAATATAAAAGAACGTTTTATTTGCTTATTAACTCACCGATCCTTTACATGATAAATGTGCTCCCGACAGTGTAAAATAGCGTGTACGCCATCTTCGAAACAAACGCCATTTGCCTTTTTTCTCCTTAAGTTGTCCCTCGATCATGGGTTGATTGCTGCCATTGAGAAAACCTACCGCTTTATCGGGATGATTGCAAAGAAAACAACCCCATTGGTATTCTAATTCATTACAATTTGGATTAGATTTATCAGTCTTTGAGACTTCGAATACATCTAGGAAGCCCGAATGTCTTAATTCATTGACGAGAATTTCACGATCCTAAAATAGAGAAAGATTTTAGTATAATAATGGAAAATGCTTATTAAAGTCCTTAAAACTGGTTAGATTTTATTTTGAAATGTTCTTTATTCTGACCAAAACTGCGGGCCATAGGTTGTGTTTCTTTTGTTGGATATTCTATTTAAAAGCTTTGTAAACATTTGGGCCGTAACGTTAGGAATGCTTAAGTATTAAGTCTAGTTTGGTCGAATTGAAAAACTCCAAAATCCAGAAAATCTTCAAAATAAGGCATGAAGCAACTTTATAAATACCTGAAGAGACGTCTGAAGCCAAAATATCATGTTTGACGATATCTTCGGACCCTAAATTCTCGCGCTCTTTATGGTTATTCTATTTGTAAGCAAATCACAAAAACATGCGATAACTTCGGAGAGAAAATTTTTATCGGATATTTTCCTTGAAAAATTTCGCGCAAGATCTAATCAAAGCTATGAGCATTACCAGCATTAGCACCGACAATATCATACAACAAGGACACCCAGTCTGGTACCCAGAAAGCTTATGCCGCAAGGTAGTATATTGACAACGAATGGCGGCGCTGAAACAGAAGTAAACAACAGACTCAATGCTATTCAACAAGTCCATCAGATTCATATGCAGAATATTCGGGCCAAAAAATATCTGTAACACGGATATCTGGAGCCTTACCAACCAAGGACCCATACTAACACAAATAAAACCTAAGAAATGGAGGTGGAACGGTCATAGTACCGCAAAGAGTTCAGACAGTATAACAAGGATAGCGCTAAAGTGGAACCCTAAAGCAGCCACAGCCGACCAAAGAAGATACCCCAACAACTAGATCAATGCAATCTTACGTGGGAACTGCGAGATATCTTGTAAGATGGAGAAGCTTGTGGATGCTCCCAAGATTGTTAATGAAGAAAAACATTTCATAATCTTGAGATACTGCAACCCTTAAAGATGTCATTAAACTTACCTTTATGCTAGGAAATTGACTGGTGACTAATTCAGTAAAACTGCGATTTTCACACTTGAGTATTTGCCAAATATTTTTTAAATTACTGATGCCTGGTTCGCGGGTGCTGAGCACACTTTTTTCCTTAACCTAAAAACGGAATAGTCCAATGTCAATAAGATTTCAAATTAATTATTTTAAATGGATCAGTACTCACATAATGTCTCACTTGAAAATCTAAAAACATTAAATGTATCCAGGTTTTTGGATTACGTGTTCTCATGGTAAAACAGGTTTTCGAGTACAGACAATGGGGACCACGGATTTGACAGGCAAAATGTAGCTTGGCTACTTTTTTCGAACGCCTCTCTGCAAATTCATTGGAAACTTGTTTGGATAAGCAAAAAATATAGAAGAAGAAACGGAAAAGAAAAGAAAATAAAGATAATTGATAGTTGAGAAGAAAGTAAATTATATTATATTCAAAGAGGTGCAATTATCATAATAATAAACAATTACAAAATGTGTGTTTAGATTACAAACAGTTATGAGAAAGTTTGAAATAAAGAAAACAAACAAGAATACAAATTACAAATTAAAAAAAAAACATGCAATTATAAATAGTGTAAATATTAACAAAATGTTCTCCTTACCTTCTATACTGCAACGTGTAGGTGGTGGCAACATTTGCGATACCTCATCCATATAACTGCTTATGGAAGTAAAATGTTTTTCACAGAATTGTTGCACCGGATCACGCATGATCTGGTAGGGCTCAAATGTACTCATACGTTGATCTAATATGCTGTTATTGGCATTCAATAGAGTGCGACTGGTATTGTCATTGCGGCGCGGGGTAACATTGGTGGTGGGTCCGGAAACTATAACTTCATGATCACTCTGTTTTAGTAAAGAATTAAGTTAATTAGTTTAATAATATTTGTCTATATAATAAAACTACTTACACTTCCATTCACTGGTAACTTCATCACAGATTTTTGATTACCATTATTCTGTTGCGGCAATGCTGGAGAGGCATGATGTACGGAAACCGGATTGGAAGGTGATGTTATTGAACCTATAGATTGATTAAGGGCATCGGTACTATATTTCAATAAGGCTGTACTGGTATTCAGTAAAGTAGTGGGTCCTTGTGATTGTGGTCTTAGTTTGGTGGGTGATGTTGTTACCGTTACTCCTCCTGATGTTACCTGTGTCGAGGGTATACCCCATTTATTGTGACCCGTTATAATAACATTATTGCTTAGCGGCGGTACCGGAGTCACATAGCCTGGACTATTGGGTGTTGTGGGAGTTTTTAATATGGCACCGCTTTGTACCACCACATTACTACTGGATGTTGAATTGTTTGCCGTATTGGAACCTGAACCTGAAGCAGAACCATTTTGATTGATATGTTGTGAAGAACTAAGACGTGTCATACTTTTGTGTAAACCTCCTACAGAACCTCCAGCTACATTTAGGCGTGTCATACTACGATGTGTATTACCCGCAGGATGTAGGCGTCCAGTACTGCGTGAATCTCCCAACTTAACACGTCTTGTGTATCCGGTATGGGGAGGTGTTGGTGGTACCGTTGTTGTTGATGTGGCGGGAGGTTGATTACTATTTGGATGAGTGCTAGTAGTAGTGTTGGCCGATGATGATGCTGAAAGAAGGAAAGTAGTAGAGTTAAGATTGATTGAATTTGGAAAAATTAATATCGACAACAACAACTTACGTATTTTTATATTTCCCGTGGTTATGGTTCTCCTATAGGGATCCTTGGGACTGCTAGGACTACTACGACTCTGTTTGCTTTTATGGCTGCGGCCAGTGGTAGTGTGGGAGTTTGAGGCAGCCACTGAGACGGTAGTTGTGCTAGTGGCTGGATCAGCACTAATAATGGTAGAACGTTGAGCTGATGAATTGGCAGCTAAAGTATTAACCACTACACCCGAAGCTTTGGCGGCAGTGGGTTGGTTGGCAGCAGCAGTCTGATCGTTGGAACTATTCAGATTGACTATGGTAACACCACCACAGGTTTTGGTACCAACATCAACACTAGTCTCTGAAGAAGATAATTTTTGCTGGCTGCAAGCAACAATAAAAGAATTTTTGTAATTAAATTAAATTTAAAGAAACCAATTGCTAACATTACCTTAAAGCATTCTTTTGTCTAACACAAGCCAACACTTTATCCGTAAACAGTATGGGAAATGATGAACACAATTTTGTAGCCTCTTGCAATAGCACAGCCTGTGATGTTCTATCGGCATGAGGCAATTGTTCTAAAACAAAATCCAATGCATATTGTGCATTTTCCTTATTTGTACGTCCCGCCGTTGCCAGAACCTGCGCACCCAATGTCACCGTATTCGGATTGGTTTTGGTGGCCAAACGTATTTTATCAAAATGTTCTGCCACCAATAATGGTCGCTGCTCAGCTAATTTCAATAGTATTTGCATTGTCGTTATCGCTGTTTCGCTATCGTAGAGAAATTCACACAACGGTGAGATGCATGATTCTAAAACTAAGGGTGTACGTTGTGCTATTAATAGATACAATTGAAATACGGCTAGTCTTTCTTGAGAATCACATTCTGGCAGCAGTGCTACTAACTGGGGTGCATGCGGTGACACTGTATCGGGTGACACTTCATAGATTTGCGAGAGTACACGTAGTAGACCATAATTACCAGCTAATATGGAATTGATTATGGAATCAATATGGGGACTTAGCAGATAGGCATAATCGATAGCGGCCAATGAGAGATAACTTGCTAAGTTACGTGAGAGTTCACGATTTCCTTTGGGCAGAAATTGTACAGCCATGGGTAGGGCTAATTTCATGACGTCTTTCTTGTCGTAATTCTGAAAGGAAAGAATAAAGGAGTGTTTAAAAGCATGTTAGAATAGGCTGATATATTTGTGAGTATTTAAAGCGACTGGCGAATATCGAGAGTAAAACAGATCGATCAAAGATCAAGCTTGTGATTTTGACTAAATGCGATTTGGAATGTTATTGTTGATTTGAAATGTTTTAAGTTTGTTGTATGAAAAACCCAATTTTGTGGTCAGAAGTTATCTTGGATCGAGGGCCTTCTGTAATTGTAACGCTATTTGGAAAATTTATTCGATCAGTGATCACTCGACCAATTGACTTTTCACTATTAAATACTATAACTTTTGCAATTTTTTTGACAGAATGGTCATTGAATGAGATCCTACTCTAATTGTAATTGTTTTGGAGGATCCGTCCGATCAGCGATCGCTCGATCGATTCCCTTTTACCGAAATAATAGTAATCGTGGATCGAGCTTATAAACGATTGATGATCTTCAGAATTTTAACTTTAAAACTTACCAAAAATATACTCGATATAATATCGGCCGCAATTTTCGCATGTGGAGGATCATCTTTACTGCTACCGCTAGGCTGGAGATTCCAAAGTAAACAGGTTTTAAGTAAATCGATCAGGGCGCTGCAATAACGTTGCGCTGTCTTCGTTTCACGTATGCAGGATAAAACTCGTGTAACACAAATCTCAACCACCGACTGATCATTATTGTTTTTTAAATAGTCTGCCAACGAAATAATGGCGTTTATGTCGGAGAGCTGTAAAAAGAAATAAAAAGAAAAAAAAATATTTTGAAATTCCTGTGAAATTTCCAAGAAATACTCACCACTTCTGAGATATCATTGACAATATCATTGTCTGGCACAGAAAATAAATCACCAGCTCTGGATAGATCACGTTTCGAGAGTACTTTTGTCAACAGTTCATGCATTTTTTTAAACTCTCTCTCTTTCTCTCTTTAACTCTCGATAGACTCAATTTGCTATAAAACAAGTGCTCTTTGTTTAGTTAAGAGAGAGTTGTAGGAATGTGTTACTCTTTTTTTAACACTTTTTCTCTCTTAATATCAAGAAATTCTTTTTAAAATTTGCTAAAAGAAAAAATAAATACAAAAAAAAAAATGAGTAAAAAGTAAAACATGTATTTGCAAGATATAAAACATTCTTTAAATTATGTCTTTCTAAATATAAATGACGGCATTTTTTTTCAATTCAATTTTAATGTGTAGTTGTTGTTGTTGTAAGAAAAGTACCAAAAATAAATAGTGGCAAAATGAAATTAAAAAAAAATTCTCACGGTTCTATTTAATATCAGTTTAAAAAACCATTTGATCGAGTGTTTTTTTTTGTTGTAGGTTTATGCGAATACACAACAATATTAGTATTTGTATTTGTTCTTGATCATTGTTGATGATCTTGTTCATTGTCAATATCATCATCTTGTTGTACATAGTTATAATTATTGGCTTTTTTGTTGTTGTTCTTTCATGTTAATGTTTCGTTTGGAGTTTTGCCAATTTTTTTATTTTTGTCATTACCAACAATCAAAGTGTCTGTCTGGCAATTGTGAAACATTTTCATTAGATGAATGTTTGGTGTAAATTTTTATGTTTTTTTTATCTTATCGCTGTGACAGGCTACAGATTTTACTGGAAATTGACAAAAGAACAATAAATTGTTTTGTTCGAAAAATAAAGAATCGAAAATATTTGTATTTAACATGTTTACCACACTCTTTACCTCTTTTGTTCCGAAGTGATCGTTTTGCAAAAATTGTCAACACTTTTATATGATCAAATTGACTTTTGTTCTGTTAGTCAAACCGTCTGTCTGTCTTTTACTTTAGTCTATGGCTTGTTTCTTTTGTTGTGTTATCTTTAAGATTTTTTTGTTATCTAATTGTGTTTTGTCTATAGACATTAACTTGCACTACATCTTCTTCTTCATTTACCACTACTTTTTTGAATTGTGTTGCAAAAACAAACAAGAAAATTGTAAAATGAATTTGCACTTAATTCTTTTGTCTGTTTTAGTTTTTAATTTGCATTCTTTAGTTTTTATTTTGCTGAGGTAATGAAATTCTTTTGTAAACAATGTCAATATTATTTGAATTCCGTTATATTTGTTTTAATTATACATATGTAGTTGTTTTTTAAACATTTACGTGGGGATTCCCTAGATACACTGATAAAAATATATGTCTTTAAACCATTATATGAGATAATAGTTAATAAAGTTGATAATTTTTACAATTATGTTTACTAGAGATTATATTTTCAAATGAAATGTTGTTTTATTGCAGATTAAAGAATTGAAATCTATGTTGTTTAAAAATATGAGTGAGATTTGAGATTTTCGAACTTCCTCGTTCGAAATGTTAGAGATTGCCGATCAAGCAATTTTGCTCAATTAAAAGCTTTTAAATTATCACAGTTCAAGTTGGCTTTCTTTATTCAAAATTATAGATTTGGCATCTTATACATAAAGATTTATCAAAGGTTTATAGAAAATTTGTTTTATAAACCTATAATAAAAGTTTATGAATAAGGCTCTTGAGATTTTTGGAGCTTCTTCTAGTAAAAAGTATGCTTTTTGTTAAAAATTTTAGTGATCGTACATGCTTTTCGATTTCACAAATCGATATTAAGAATTGAATGATCGTAGATCATGCTTTACTTTTCTCAGTTAAAAGTTTCTTCTAAAAAATTTCTGTAGAATTTAAGATTTTCCATTGAAGAAAATCACTTGTCACTATGTTTTTGTTCAGAAATATGAGTGATCAGTGATCATAGTTTCTTTTGCTTTCAAGACTCGTTAACCCAGTTATCAAAAATTTAGTAGTCGTATATTATGCTTCTTTAACAAACTTATTTAGAGATTTATACAGAATTTGATATTTTCATATTAAAGTATGGTTAAAAATGTGAGTGATCGCAATATCACATGAATTGTATTAAATCACTGGTCGCATTTTGAGTTTTAATTAAAAAAACACTTGGGCGAGATCACTGACCTCAAATCGATTAAACCATCAAAAAGTTGCACAAAATCAGAGTGTGAGTTTAATTGGAAAACACGATTGATCGAGTTTTATCTTTCAATTTAAAATTTGTGAGTGATCATGATCCTTCATTAAATCTTATTAGCAAATATTTTCCTTTTAAATATACATTTTTGATCGAAGACAGGAGTGATCACTGATCGCAAATCGATCTGATTTTCTCAAGTAAACAATCACAAAGTTAGTCAAAATGACATTGTGAGTTTTAGTAAAAAGAACCATTGTCGAGATCACTGATCTCAAATCGATCGGTTTTTCTCACCAAAAAGTCTGAGTGTTGAAAAACACGACTGATTGAACTTCATCTTTCAATTTAAATGTTGTGATTTTGGTTAAAAATGTGAGTGATCGCAATATCATGATCTTGCATTAAATGATATTAAAGGTATTTTCAGACTACAATACTGAGTATTAACACACTTCAAATTAAAAATATTATGAAAATAATTCGCATTTTCAAAAAATCAATCTGAAAAATACATTTTATGTTTACACTATAACATTTGTAATATTTTTTATCCAATTTTCAATTATTTATGCACTTTTCGTTCTTATTTTTAATGTATTTTACACTTTTTGTTTGTTTTTTATTGTATTTATAAAATACATACCGAATACGTTTGAAAATAAAAAGGTTTTGAATTGTTTTAAAAAATTTATGAATACCGACCGTATGCCAAAAAAATCAGTAATATTTTTGAAAATCAAATTACAAATTATATTTAGACTAGTAAATTGTATTATGATACAAATATTCTTGACAAGTATTAATACTCAGTATTGTAGTCTAAAAATACCTTAACAAATATTTTTCTTTCAAATATACATTTTTGATTCATAATATGAGTGATCACCGATCGCAAATCGATCCGCTTAGTTATACAATCACAAAATTTGGTCAAAATGTGTAAAAAAAAAAACACTTGGGCAAGATCACTGACCTCAAATTGACATGTTTTTCTTGACTAAACAATCAAAATGTTGGACAAAATCTGAGTATGAGTTTTAGCTGAGTCCTAGTTGGAAATCCCGATAGATCATACATCGAGTTTTTTTTATAATTAATTAAATATATTTAAAATTTCTTGCTTGTTTGCTTTCAAAATTAAGTTGAAATTGTGCGATTAAAGAAAAACGATATCCTTATATCGATTAAACGATTAATCAAAGACTGTTTAAACTTCAAGGATTTTGGATTGCATATCGTTTATCCATTCTTCAATTGTTTGTCGTATGAAACTGTTTTAAAATTTTAGTGATCATTGATCTATCCATTCCTCTGAAAGTAACACTTAATTATTGGAGATTGTACACAGAGAGAAAAAGAAATATACACGCCTGGTACCAAATTGACACCAAACTGTTTATAATTTGTCAATAAGATCCGTTGTCAACGTATATACATACGTACGACAACACTATGTAATGTTGACAACGTTGCAACAATTCGTTGTCGAAATCTAAATCTTATACACAAACGTTGTCTAAATGTTAACAAACGTGGTAAGCTCACTAACTGACAAACAATCCGTTGCCAATAGTGAGCTTACCACGTTTGTTAACATTTAGACAACGGATGTGTATACAATTTATATTTTGACAACCAATTGTTGCAATGTTAACATTACATAGTGTTGTCGTACGTATATATATATTTTGACAACGGATGTTATTGAAAAATTATAAACTCTTTGGTGTCAATTTGGTACCAGGCGTGTATATTTCTTTTTCCCTCTGTGTAATTACTTATCCTTGATTCTTTTCGTATTAACTCTTATTTAAAATATATTATAGATTTATGGATTGCTAAATTTTTTGTCAAAATATTGCCAGATCTTAGTTAATCTTAATCTGTTATCGATTAAATATCACTGATCGCCGACTGAACTCTCTGCACAAATTAATGTTTTCACGAAAATATTACTGCATAACAACAACTGATAAAAACTGAATTTTTTCTGTTTATTTCTAATAGAGAAGTTACATTATTATAAAACTTTTTCTTTTAAAAAGGATGACTCAAAGTACAAATGAAATGTTATTTTAAATTATTATTTAATTTTTTCTATTAATATTTCTGCACCATTTACTTCACTTGGGAAGTTTAAAACTATTAAAATCTAAAGTTTAATAAATTATATTAAAATACAATTGGAAATGGTGTATATGTGTTAAGCAATAAATTAATAATTTTGCACTACAATATTATTATTATTTTTTGTTTTGTTTCTAACATTTAAAATTTGTTGTTATAGTTTTCATTATATATACAATAGACATACATATATTTTGCAATATTGAAAAATATTTTAATTTTTTTTTGCTTTAAATTTATTGTCGTCATTAGGGATTATACTCAAATACTATATATCCACTTGTACATTTAAATATTCAAGTGACATTTACAATTAATTCAAAAGTTTACAGGTGAACTTATTAAATATTTTTATTCAATATTAAGCAATTGCATAAGTTAAAAAAAACCTTTAATAACCAAATGAAATTGTAATTATTATTAAATATCCTTTTTATCTAAGCTTTCACTAGCAACTGTCATTAAAGTGAATATGTTTTAATGCTAGACATTTTTATCGTATGCTTCAAACTGGTAAAACTTTTTAAATAATATAGCCTTTCAGTGTGTGTATATATGGAAAACTAGTCCAGCCTGTATGTCTTTACGATTAGCATATGAACGGATGTTTAGATGAGGAGTTAGTTAGTTAGTCAGTTCGTCTGTGATCACATGTCAGACATGCATGTCTGCTTGTCTCTGTATTAAAGTAGCCAAACCAGTAAGATTGCTTAATACTGTATACTATGTTTGTACTCTAACCATAGATTTTCACGCATTGTTGATAATACACTTTTGCATTTATACAGACGTTTTTTATATATATACATAAAATAACAATAAATAAATTAAAAATAACAACAAATTTAAAATTTTTTGCAAATAACCACAAAACTCCTCTAATACAATAATATTAGCTATTTATATACTCGGTTGTAGTGGTTGAGTTGCCACAT